TAGGAATGGGGAAAAAATAAGAACCAAGATGCATTATATAAAGGTACAATTCCCAATGAGAAATGTAATTGTGTTGTGTACCTACAATGTACCAATAAAAGAATTTTATACAAAAAAAAAACAACTTAGAATGAAGCAAAAGGGAGAACCATATGTGCTTTCAAGGTAATAACTAAACAATTATTTAACTGATTCACCCAAACTTTATTTAGGGAAATATGCCCTTTTTTGACTTGCTAATTGCTTCTGATTAAATTTGTAACTTGTAAAATTTTGTCCAGTATTACACAACACACTGATTTTTATTTCCCTGAATACATTTCCTAGTTTTACAGCTAACCTAGCAATGTTATCCTAACATTCTTTTTAAAAATAATTCTTTGAATACTCTGAGCTGGTTTTATTGTCCTGCTGGCTCCCTTGTTTATGGGTTAAATAAATCTCTGACATGTTCATTCTGTTTAAGAGTCATGTTTAATTTTCTGAAAATTATTTTGACAACATTCAAAAAAGTTCTGTTTTTTTTTCTGGTACCGAGGATTGAACTCAGTACCTCATGCTTGCCAGGCAGATGCTGTGCTGCTGGGCTAAATCCCTGGCCCAGTTTTGCTTTGTTTTATCTGCCATTTGTTTGTGTATATATTTACATCTATATTTGTACTTGTCTAACAGTTAAAACTTTAGCTAGAAAAGCCAATAGGCTAATTCTTCCAGAGAAAAATTAACAACTTTTTCTTTCAAATAAACAGTGTTCACATTTTCTAGGTAGAAACTAATGAGCACTTGTATACATCTAGAATAAGAGAATCTATGTGGTTACTAAGAATTAGCAACAATGACAGATAGACAGATAGATAGTGTGTATGCATACCTGTGTGTGCTCAAATGGCTATATCGTCAGCTTTCAACAGCCCTTTTCCAATTTTTCATCAGAATTTAAAATCTAAAATATCAAGTTTTAGTAGTGCTTTTATAATAACTTTGCAAACAACTACAAGTGAATTAATGTAAAATCTGAAATTCAATTGATACTCCTGATAATGATAATGATGATAATAATGCTTTCACTAAAAAGACAGTTAAATGTCTTAGTTATGATTTTATTCTAGTTTGGGATATGATGCAAAATTAAACTTTATTTGCATCAAAATGTCAAACACTGAGTTTCCATATAACCTGACAATTCTACTTTTATACTTATCTATCCAAGAGAAACGAAAATATATGTACACACAAAACTTGCACATGAAAGTTTACAGGTGAATTGGTCTTAGCTGGTAGTTCCAGAGTGAAGATAACCTAAATGTTGATCAGCTGATGAAGAGATAAACAAAATGTGATGTGTTCATGCTGTGGAATATATTTGTCATTAAAAAATAGAGTAGTGATATATGATACAAATGGGTAAATCTCACTTGTAAGCTGAGAAGCTAGTAACAAAAAACCCTCATATTTTATGATGCTACTTACATGAGATGTCCAAAATAGGCAAACCTATAAAGACAGAAAACAATGGTTGCCCAGAGCTTGGGAGAAATAAAAGTATGGTTGGGAGTAAGGTGTGACAGTTAATAGGTACAGATTTATTTTAGCGGTGACAAAAATGTTCTAAAATTATGGTGTTTTAAAAAATGTTCTAAGATTATGGGGATGACTGTACAATTATATAATCATATTAAAAGCTACTAAATTGCATAGTAATATTATGGTATGAAAATTATATTTCAAGTTACTAAAAAGTATTTTAGTTCATTTTACTGTTTTCTGCTAAGAAGCCTATTTAAATGGAAAACAGTAACTCTCATATTTATCTCATAGGTAAAAGCAGCTCATTATTCAAAAATTTAACACTTCAGATATGCTCAACACTGAATTATAACTAGCATCTGTTTCTGCTGTAAAATTT